ATTCTCGGATTCCAGTAGTGTTGTAAGTTTTCGTTATGATCATCATGTTACATGTGACGTTTGAGCAACCCCAAAGCCCACCGTACGGTAAGAAGTGACCACGATACTCTCATGGTCTAAGGAGCAACTTCACATGTTAACACTCCTGTTATTACAATTGAATGTAGATGATATAGACTCAATTCATGTCAAACAAGATTGGGTCGGTTCAATATGATCGTTCTTCCAACGTCATAATCTCAATGTTTGCTTTAGCATCATCGTTACACTTAATGATATCCTAAGATCCAGAAAACGTGATCACCAACAACACTTGAGCTAGTCTTAGAGGCGAGACTAGGAACTTTTTATTTTGTCGTTCATCATTCCACACGTGCATATGAGTTTTTCATTGAATCGCATATTCCAGGATCATAACAGTTATAGCATAGAATATAAACCCTTTAATTATGAATAGGGAAATATAATAATACAAATATTATTGCCTCTAGGGCATATTTCCAACACCCTCACCGTCCTCCACCCATGCTCCCCATCCTTACCACCGGTCCCAATCCACCTCCAGAGATGTCGTCCAGCCCGTCCCCGACCGCCGCGATGGAGACGTAGTCCACCTCGTCCATTGGCATCGCTTCGTCAGTTCCGTCTTGCAAGGTGGAGAATGTCACCCAGAAGTTGCGGCGATGCCGGCAGCGAGAGAGGGAGGCAGCGGTGGTGGCGCGGAGAGGTTCAGACATGGTGGAGCAGTTGTCTCCCCCCCCCCCCACGTGCCCGAAACCCCGCACCCCTTCCATCTGAGCGCCAACGCGGATTACGCGGTCCGACCCCATTGGGACAGAGGAGGATTCGGCGACTGGCTGGGCCATCCCGGAGAGCTTTCCACCCACGCAGATGCCGGTGTCGACGTATGTGACTTGCCGTAGCTTGTTTTGGCGCAGATGAGCATGGGCGCCAGCGGCGGCCGGGGCTGCCCTCGACATGTTTGACGGAATGACAGAACAAGAGTTGGTACATTTTCTTTGCTCCTATCTAATCAAATTTTTGCATAGACCACTAGTTCATTTCACACATGATGAATGATTGAAAACCATTATCATGTAGGAGGCGTTCTTGTCAAACATGATCAATGACAATGAAGATTCGACTGAAATGGAGTATGAATTGGAGGGCACCACCGCATTTGAAGTTCGGACAACATCCGATCCAATCCGAGCAAGTAGAAGAAGAAGGCCAAGACGGCGAAGGCAAGAGATCCGACATTCTCAAGATTTGAAGACATCTTGTTGGTCAAAGATTGGTTGACCACAACAATGAATCCAATATGCGGCACCGAGCAAAAGGGAAACAAGTATTGGGAGAAAATTTGGAAGGAGTATCACGAACAAAAGGAGTATGTAGAGCCGCATCCTATTGTGACCACTCGCAGTGTGCCATCTCTCCAACATCGGTGGGGGTCATTCAAGGAGAAGTGAACAAGTACGTCGGCTACTACTCACAAGTGACCAAATGGCCTCAAAGTGGGATGGGAGTGGCAACTCACGTAAGCTTAGTCGTTTCATCTTGTCGTCATTTGCATATGCTTCCTTGTGATTGCATTCTCGTGCTCATACATATGTTGTTTGCTAGACGTCGGTGGCGGCCACTTTGTATCATGAGGTGGAGAATAAGTTGTTTGCTTTTAGTCATTGTTGGATCATATTTAATGGCAAGCCGAAGTGGAACCAACTTGTTGGCAATCTCAAGTCCGGCAAGAAGAGGAATGATGGATCAAGCTCCCACCAATCAATTGGGTTGGACGATGAAGAGGATGATGCTGTCGTCGCGAATGAAAGAGCCATTGTGCCAAGGATAACCGACAAGTCATGGAAAACAAGTGGGAGAAGGCACGGGCCTCCCGTGACGCTGCAGCTACAAAAATGTCGTCCACATGGACGGGCATTTTTTCATAAGGGAGAACAATAAAGAGAAGAGATACAAGCTAATGTTGGACACACAAAAGGAGAGATGGAGTGGGGCCAGAAGTGGGCGGAGAAGAGGCTCAAAATTGAGAGGGAGAAGATTCAGTTGGAAAAGCAAGAGACGACGATCAAATGGGAACTCGAGAAGGCCAAGACATTTGGCGAGACTGAGCTTGAGAAGGAGAGGTTGTGACTCGCATGGGACGCGGAAGATGCGAAGATCATGTTGACGGACGAAACCCTCTTGGATGAGTATGCAAAGAAGTGGCTTGCGGACAAGAAGAAGAAGAAGATCAACGACCATAGGGAGTACGAGGTGGCTGGGGCGGCTGCGGCAACGTCAGCAGATCATGCGGCCCGGATCCAAGCGGAGGAGGCAGCCCGCATGCAGGTGCAACAGGACGAGCATGACGCATTCCGCTCGAAGCAGGTGCCCGGCCAGTGATCTGAAGCCATCCGTCACGCTCGGACATTGATTTTATTTTGGCATGTCCTGTTTATTGAACTATGATTTGCTTTGCTTTATTTCCAACTCTTCAATTCGGACAATTTGTATCGTATTGTCGACGGGCATGAATTGCATGGATTTAAGGATCGGAATTTAAGATTCATGGATATGGGACGCAATATATGAGGGGGCGGCGGGCGCTGTCTGCAGACGTATAGAGGGCCGGATTTGTCAAGTCTGTCTTTTAGGACGGTAGTATAATAGGAGATTGCTTGGTGTAAATCAAAGACTTGGTTTCCATGACCGAACGGGGCGACGCAGGCAGTTCGTCACCTTGCGTCCCCACTCCCCAGTTAAAAAAGAATGACAACGGTCGAGCACGAGCAGACAGGCTGAAAGCAACGCCCGTTCCGATCAATCAAAAGGAAAGAAAAGAAAAGAAAACTGGTTTTGAACGTCTCGCGATACGCCGGCGTCCACGACGGCGGGGACGCGAAAAGCACGTCTCCATCTCGCATGCACGGTAGTCGGTAGGTGGGCCGGCGTCGACCTGAGCCGCCCGTGTTAAACAACAGCAACCCCCCCACGTCGGCCCTATCCTGTGACTGTGAGCTCTCGCTTTCACACCCCCTGACGGTGGGAGCGCTGACTATTCCCATCACACTTCTTCTCCCGCAGCCGGTCAAAGTCCTGGATCGAGTCCGTTGTCAGCGTTCTGTCCGATAGACGGTGCGCGGTTAGCACCGTGGCACAGCTTCGTCAAGCTGGTTTAGCCACCGCTTCTCTTTTCTTTTCTTTTTTGCACCGTCACGAAATATCTTTTTGTGAATCGAGAGACTAATAATACTCCAAGTTAGCGATTGCTTAGCGCTCACCATCTCTGAGATACGAATAGGTGTCAGGTGTCTTTCAATAGATCAACAATTTAATAGTACTGAAAATGATCAAGCCAAACATGGGCAACACGAAACAGTTTGAACCACGGTTTCTACGGAGTTTGAACTGATTTTAAAAAATGCATGGACTGCACACCAAAAAATATGCATGCGTCGTTTGGTAAATCTTCCAAGTCCGGATCTTTTTAAAAAAAAATTGGTAAAAATGCATGCGCCGTTTGGTAAAAATGTATGGCACTTTTTAGGGTATGGAATCTTTTTTTTTTAAGTTTGGTACCGAATCCTTTGATGTAAGTACTTGATTTCATCGTTTGGTAAATCTTGCAAGTTCGGGTCGCCTTTCAGCTAGCTAGTTCGCCGCTTGGTAGGACGCCCTGCCGGCCTCTTTTTTTCGAGGAACCAACACGAACACTACCTATTCATATAGATGAAAAGAGATGAAAAAGGGTATGTACATTGGCACGTGTTTTTTAGGTAACATGGCAAAACAATAATTAAAAGTAAAAGGATAGAGACCACTTAGCCGATGCCCTCCGTGGGTATGGCTCGAGTAAACGTCATGCCCTGTTGCTTGATGGCATCATAATATGTCTGAGGCCTCCTTTGATTCATATGATAGGAAAATCATAGGAATAGAAAAGTCGTAGGAAATGAGATGGCATGTATCTTAAATTCTATGAGTAGGAATAGGAAAGGAGATGTTCTTTAATTCACATCAAAGAATTTTTCTCATTGAGTCTAGGCTAATGTTTATTTTCTTATGAAATATGAAGGGTAGGAAGAATTCCTTCATAGGAATAAGATTTCATTCCTACAAATCAAAGGGAACTAAAGAATTTTTTTCTATAAAAATTATATTCTATGAATGAAGGCCTGAGTGTGTCTAGCAGCCACATGGTTTCAAATAGCGACGGGGAATATCAGTCTTCGCAAAGGTAGGTCACGGTTTCCGGTGCTTGGAGATACATACGGTACCTCAGGTCACGCGGCCAGCCATACACACACAATCAACATATCCGTGATGAGAATTCTAACGTAAAGGACAAGCCGTGTGAAGAACTTACATTTAGGCTCGACATGCTTAACACAAACGCTGCCTACTACAACACCACATCAACGGATGAATCTTCCGAATAAATGACACTTCACATAAAAATATCAAGCAATAATGCAGAATTCATATTCATAAAAGGATTGCTCATCCAAATATACACCAATAAATCTCAAAATCGCCGCATAGTATGAAACAGATTCTGTCCAAGGCAAACTTGACTCTACAGAATAAATGACAGAGTATTGCCACAAAAGATGATTCCACCGAATAAATGACACCTCGACGATATACATACAAATATCTGGTACACGTATGGAGTACTACTACGGAAATAGATTTAATTGTGTCCAAGTAAGGCGAATTTGACAACGTATAACGTGTGAGAACAGCTCGAATAACCAGCCGTCGCACGTCGGCAGCGCTCATCCGCTCCAGCACTCGCTCTCCCCCGTTTCCACCTCCCTTCCCACGACAAGAACGTGCGTCCAAAACGAAACACCGCACTATAAATGGCAGCCACGGGCCCAAACTACCTGAAACATCAGTGGGATCACGATAACGCAAGCCGGCTACCTCAGCACACGAGCGCGCGCAGCCCGAAAGCTTTCTCGCGACACCGACCTCACCTCAGACTCCACGTCGCCATGGTGCCGAGGCTGGAGCGCGGCGGCGGTGGCGGGTTCCAGCTCCCCAACTCCGAGCAGGAGAACTCGCTCTTCCTCCGCGCGCTCATCTCCGTCGTGTCCGGGGACACCGCGGCCCCCGCCCTGCACCCGGAGCCATCGAACCCGCCGTTTGCCGCTGCCGCTGCCGCTCCGGTGCCTGCGTGCGGCAGGTGCGGCGCGGACGGGTGCCCCGGCTGCGAGTTTGCCGCTGCGGCGGCCGCGGCGACGACCGGGTCGAGCAGCGAGGGGGAGGAGTGCTCGGCCGCGAGCTTCGTGAGGAACGGCGGCGTGGGCAAGCGGCGGGCTGGCGGCGGCGGGAGCAAGTTCAGGGGCGTGCGGCAGCGGCCGTGGGGCAAGTGGGCGGCGGAGATCCGCGACCCGCACCGCGCCGTGCGCAAGTGGCTCGGCACCTTCGACACCGCCGCCGAGGCCGCGCGCGCCTACGACGTCGCCGCGCTCGAGTTCCGCGGCCACCGCGCCAAGCTCAACTTCCCGGCGTCGTCGTCGGCGGCCTCCGCGTCCGCGTCCGCGTCCGCGTCCGCTTCCGCTTCCTCCTGGGCGGCTGCGCAGCCCCATCCCCAGCGGCAGCAAAGGCCGGAGAGCCCTCGCGAGAAGTGCGGGTCAAATGCGTCGTCGCCGGCGCACGTGCCGGAGCAGGGGAGGCCGGTGGCGCGGGAGCAGGAGATCTGGGACGGGCTGCACGAGATCATGATGATGGACGACGGCAGCTTCTGGTCCAACCCCAAGCCATGATCACCGCCGCTCATTACCTCGTTCTCCTCATGCTCCATTGCGACTACATACATACTCTCTCCGTTTCAAATTACTCGTCGCAAAAATGAATGTATCTAGAACTGAAATACATCTAGATACATCTACTTCTAAGTAATTCGAAACGGAGTAAGTACATGATAAATCTCACAAAACGAGTTCAATAAACGACATACATCCGACAGTTCCGTGCAAAATGTGCACAATGCTCAAGAGATTCTTTCACACAAAGACTGCTTCACAATGTGCAGATGTCGTGTTGTACTGTTCATCTAAAAAAATCGTTTTGTCGTCGCTAAACTTCTGGGTGCAGTCCTTATCCTCGTTATTACTCGTCGCTGGTTTCCGTCAGATATTTTGCACCCCCTTTTTGACCGTTCAGCGAATCGCTCGCGCGCTGTTCCTGTTCACTATCACAACGCCAAAGCCGATAAAGATTGGATCACGCCATGCATGCGTTCCGTGGCGTAGAAACGAGCGTTTGTCACGTCTTAATTAATCCACCGTCGTTTCCCACGGTTGAAGCAGTTGCCTGCTCCACTTTTGACCACAGATAGCTCACTTTCCACCGGATGGATCCATGGAAAATAAGTACCAAGTGTAATAACAAAAGAAAAGAACATGTACTCCGACTTGCTTTGGAGGCAAAGAAAGAACATGGTATCTGCATGGCCCTGGTCCAAATCCAATGCAAAGTATACATGCTCGATGTGGATCCCAGAAGCGAAGCAGAGGGCAAGCAACGCCGGTCTGTCATCCCGATTCCCTCCCCTGTAAACAAAGGCCGAAAACGCGCACTCACCGTCCAAAACCTCGCAGCCGGACAGCGCTGAATGTTGGCGTTACTTGACGTAGAGGCTACAGAAAGAGACGTCTGCACTATTTTATTTTTATCTGGACAGCTAATGAGTGCACATACGTACGTACCCCGACGGTACGCGCTACGCGCAAATCCCAGCCTGCTGCCCGCGAAGCCGACTTCCTCCCTTTTTTTTTTGTGCGGGTGACTTCCTCCTTGAGTGTCACGTCAGGCAGCCTGGGCAGCCGACTGATCTTAAACTATGAGGAGATGAGATTCTCCTCGATGAATTAGCATGGCGATTAAAATAAGGAACACGGGTTTGGTTCCTTCTCGAGAGTAGAAGGAATCCAGGGGCCTCTCTGCGCCAACCCATCTCTGAATCTGTAGAAAAAGAAAAGTACCCCTGGTCGAAATCATTTCTTTCTTCCTAAATCCTAAAAAGTGGTCGAGTGCTACTTTGTCTTACAGAGCACTCGGGCTCGTGCGCCGTCCGATCGAGATCTCGCGGTCACGTGCGTTTCATGTGGGCTCAGGCGAAACCGTCGATGCACGCGCCAGGTGTCCCCTGGTCGTGGCTTCGTGGTCGAGTCCCTCTCCTGTTCCTCTCCACTACCCCTCCCATTCGAAACTGCCCCTCCCAGCGGAGCGGATCTCGTTTCAATCCCCCCCAACCCATCCCCCAAATCCAGCGCAAGAGCAGCCGGCAGCGTGTCGGCGATTCGGCGGTTGTCTTCCGCCGGAGCGAGGGCGGGACAGCGGGCGCGGCGTGAAGGAAGGCGGTGCAGCGGCGGAGACGCGACCGAGGAGAGATGACGCGCTGCAGGCCGCGTCAGAAGGAGCAGCACCGGAGACTCGGCAGAGGAGGAACGGCATGCGCGGCCGTTGTTCTGTTGGCGCAGAAGGGCAAAATCGCGGCGAATCCCTGGTATGCCCATCGATCTCTTCCGGTCATCCGCGTTTAGGTTGTCCGAATCGATGCGCTCTGCCGCGCCGCCGCGGACAGAGGAGGAACGGCGCGCGTGCGGCCATCGCGCGGTTGTTGCAGAGGTGCCGATTCACGGCGGGTCGACGCGCCCCTCCACTAAGTTGATGAAATCGAGTAGCAGATGGTAGAAATTGTTTGGAGCACTCGTTAATTTGGAGATGGACGACGACACGGGGCATTTCGTGTTCCTAGGCTACTGGTGAACTAGGATTCGTAGGTTTCGAAGGCAAGCCTTGGGGCTGTAGATTTCCGGTGTTGTAGATGTCGAGGTCGATCCTGATGGGCAACTGACTTGCCTGAATATGGTTCATGTGTTGCCTGCGCAGGTGGTTTGACAGTGTTTTTGATTTAGTGTACGAGAATAATGCTTCTCTCATGTCAATGTTGCCTTTGTTTTGTGAGTGACTTGCCTGATATGGTTTGATATGTTGCCTGCGCAGGTGTTTTTGACAGTGTGTTTTCATTTAGTGTAGGACAGTAATGCTTCTCTCATGTCAATGTTGCCCCTGTATTGTGAGTGACTTGCCTGACATGGTTCACGTGTCGCCTATGAAGGTGTTTTGAAAGTGTGTTTTTGGTTTATTGTAGGACAGTAACGCCTCTCCCATGCTAATGTTGCCCTTGTTTTTGCGAGTGACTTTCCTGATATGGACTGTGTGTCGCCTACGAAGGTGGGTTTGACGGTGTGTTTTGATTTTCAGTGCAGGAAAGTAATGATTTAGCAATGGAAAATGCACATGTGATTTGTGTGTGTGTGTGTGAGGTAGGAAGTAATCCAGTAGAGGGAGGTTAATAGGGCTATTTGTAGGACAATTTTAAGCATTTCACGAGGATTCATTCTTTGATTTTCTGTTCTAGGTGCCTTTATTTGTATCAGATTTTGTAGGACACGTAGAGGGAGGGTAATAGGGCCAATTATAGGATAGTTGTAATATAGTGAAAATCAGATAGTTTACAACCCTTTTCATTGCCCACTTCTTGTAAGTTGCTGTTTGTTAAGTTCAGTAAGAATTTAGTCAAACGAAATTCGTTGGATGATATAGAGTTCTTTCAGAATCATTTCTAATGTGTTTTTTATGATGAATCTCACTGTCTGTCCTTTAAATATGCAGCAAAAAATAGATGGCTGGGACAAGTCATAAGTCTAAACAAGATGGACCTGCTGGATCAAGTCATGACGACCTTGCATCTCATGGGAATGAAGAGCATCAAGCACAGGTGTGCACATGCTCAGGAAGTTTTATGTTCTTCCTGTACATAACAGAGTTTTTTTTTCATTTTTTATTGATTTATGTGGTTTCCATCTCCCAGCCACGGAGCAGTGCACCAATAACTGGGTACAAGCGTATGAGAACTAAGACAGTTGTTTCAAGGGGGAAGCGCCCTGATGATATCATTAGTAATGAGAATAGTAATGAGAGCCAAGCTGTAGATGCTGGGAATAAAAATGTTGAAGGTGCAGACGTCAAGCAGCCTCCAAAAGCAAAACGCCAGAAGACGGGAGGAACTGAGGTATTTTGCATAGTTGCCTCAGTTTCACTGAGCAGTTGCCCAGCAATGCTGCCTAAGTTGCCTATGTTGTGATGAACCTTTTTCCTTTTTTGCTAATCCCCTGTTTCTGTTTTTTCCTTATGCGCAATAGGGTCGTAGGAACAGGGCATCCCCTGCAAGGCTCTTCAAGTTGAACAAGGACTTGGTTCCTAACCAAAAGGGTGTCATCATCGGAAAAGAATTTGGTGGCATTCTGGACCTTGCAGCGAGTAGCATGCCCGGAGATTTTAGCCAGTGGATAATGAAGCATTATGACCCGGAGATTTCGCAGATAGTCATTCCAGAAAGGAGGGAGATTCCTGTAGATGCCGCAAGTGTCCGTAGGATATGGGGTTTGCCCAACAGGGGCAGGAAGGTGTGCTTGGAGAATCGGCCTGAAATCACAAAGGCAATGTATAGTATTTACAACATCACATCCAAGAACTCGCGAACCCTCACAGAATGGTGCAAGATGATTGTTGACATGGGAGGATCTCATGATGATGACTTTGTCCGCGCTTGGCTAGCTCTTGTTTTTTCATGCTTCCTTGCCCTTTCAACTAGTTTGAGTATTTCCCCAAAGAGCTTCCCGGCGGTCATGGATGTCAATGGAATAACTGAAACCAATATATGCCAGTTTGTTGTTGATCAATTAAAGCTTGCGTTCACTTCGGGGCGTGCCAACAAGAAGGCTGTTTGTTGTTGTGTTTTCCACCTTGTTGTAAGTGCTTCAAGCTGTTTTGTTTTTTCAAGCATCCATTTGTTTACTTATCTTTTCTTTTCTTTTTGCAATCATTAGCTAACTTAAACTTTCTGTTCTTTTTTCGTGTCTCTACGCAGCTGTTGTACCTAGACTCTCTGGATGTTAATGAGCCAATCCCGAACTTGGTACCAAGGGTTTCAGTTTGGAATTCAGATTTAATCTCCAGAGTTGTCAAGAAGGACAGGAAGGCTCCAGGAGAATATGGCCAATTGCGGGTAACTGAATTTTTCTGTTTTAGTATACATATCATTGTCATATTGTTTTTAGAAACGCTACCATTTTTTTAGAGTAGGCAATTTACTTTCAAAGAGCAAGCAAGGTAATGTATCTTTTTGGGCAAGTGCCATACATATATTTTCAAGTATGTCCAAGTAGTTATCAGACTTATTCGAACCTTCTCTCGTTTGCCATGCACACAGTTGGATAATGTTCACAGGAAGGATTTGTTTTGTTGTTGTATTTAATAGTAGCTTCTGTAGTACATTTTTAGCTCTTTTTCTGTCTGAGCAATTTACATGTTGAAAAGTAGCAAATTTACACAATAACACAAGCAACTTATGTTCTGAAAACTAGCAACTTGCATACTAGTTCTTCATTTTTTTGATTACAGTATCAACTAATAGTAGGCAATAGGGGAAGTGGCATAATGGTTGCAGGAATTTTCAGACAATTAGTAGTACTATTTTTCTTCATTTTTCTCAGGTCTTTTTTGGTATGGGAGTGCTAGAATTGTTGTCGCTCATAGTTTTTTTAATCTTTTTTGGCTATAAAACCACCAGCTCAAGACGGAGTTTTCCCGCTGTGCCGATGATAGCTTGTTTGGCAGTATGGACCACATCACCAAATTTGTTACCGCAAGATTGCCCAAGTCATATGACAAATCAGTAAGTTTATCTAGCACTTGTTTTTTCCTCTCACTGTTGTTCCCCTTTTTATCGCCATTTGTACATTCAACCATTTTTTCAGAATCTTCAATAGAAGATATGTACTTATCATGTTCTCTACCATCCACTTTTATGTTTTACAGAACCAAAAGAAGCTCACAGGGTTGGTGCACGATATGTGTTCTGTAATTTCACATGCAGTTGGGAAGCTCGTGACTGGGGTTGGGAAGATAGATGATGATGAATGGGGGACAAAGGAGGCAGATCCTACTACTGCGGAGACTAGCAGGCGGCAGTCTAACAGAAGGGGCAAGCGAATACCAGCCAGAAGAGACAGCTTACCAAGTGAGGAGGAGTCATTTAATTCTGACAGCGACGACAGCGAGGCAGCCGACAGTGAAAGTGAGGGAGATGGTAGGGATGAAGGTAGTGATGAAAGCGACATCGATGGCAGTTCAGACAGCGATGACGGTCATGATGGATCAAGTGGAGTTCAGGGGAAATCAAGTAGCCAGGGAGCACGACAAACGGTTGATCACCACGAGGGGGCAAGTGCTGAGATGGGAGGTAAAGACGGAACTGAGGGGAACGAGGACAATGATGATGATGATGAAGAAGAGGATGACGAAAAAGAAGATGATGAAGGAAAGGAGGACGATGACGATAAAGAAGGCGATGGGGATGACAAAGACAAGGAAGATGATGGGTGGGGGAAGCAGGATGAAGATGATGAGGATGACAGCGGAGGTGGCAACGGTGGTTCAGGCAGCAATGGTGGCTCCGATCGGGACGGGGATCCCGTGGCTGAAAATGCAAGCAGCGATGATGATGAACAATGCACGCTGCAATTTCTGATTGAAAAGAAGGGGGACAGAAAGGCAAAAGGATTGGATGAGGCAGATAGGATATCTATCAGAGACCTTGTGATGACAGAATTCAAAACTGTTGTTTCCCCAAAACCACGCTTCCCTGTTTTTGAAGTGAAAGAAATATTGGATATTGATGACATATCCATGGCAACCGAAGCGAGGAGGATATTCAGAGAGTTGTTGAGGGGGGAAGATTTGGATATGGTCTTCACATTCAACCCCAAGCAAATATGCCCAAAGGCGACTCGGCAGAAAATAATGAGAGAACTTGGTGCTCTAAATGAAGTTACAGAACAGAAGACTGCTTGTCGAAACCAACTACCACCACTCCCGCCATCAAAGAAGATGAAGAAAACTGTTAGTTTTGTATTGGAGCCATCTGTGATGAATGAAACAACAATTCATCCGCAGGCATATCGTGCCGAAAATCCCGGTTACAGCCAAGGGGGAAAGTCAAGGCAGTCAGCCATGAAAAAATCTGGTCCTCCCCAGCAGCAACAACAGACATTTTCTGAAACAAAAGAGGCAATCCATGGGAATGCCAAAACACAAGTGGTAAAGAGTACACCATCAAGCTCAGCAGCACCCCCGTGCAGCAAAGTTGGAGATGAGGCAGTACCTACAGGAGTAGATTCAAAGCAGTCGGGTAATTTTCATTCCCAGTGTCAAGCAAGTGGATCACATATTCTGGCAACTCAGTCTAAGGAGGAAGCAAGACCAGCTATTTTTCAGGCAAGTTCTGCAGAGGAAACACTAGACCCCACAAAAGTACGGCCAGTTCAACTCAAGAAGGGACCCACAGTGCTAGTAAGCATAGGAAACCACAGCGGAACACAATCACTAGGTGACTTAAATGGTCAAGTGCCTCCTCCGTCTCGGGGAAATGTGATGCAATCAGCCAATGGTATCCAGAGGGCCAAGGTGCAAGACTTCAATGCATCACTCGAGGCTGTAGCATTAAATCATGCAGGACACAAAAAGGAGAAAGAGAACATCCCTCCGGTGTCATGTACGGAGATCAATAGGATACAAGACCTGCCCGAAGCTGTAACCATGGGAAAAAGTCCGGAACAAAAGTTGCTAAGAGCCCTAGGGAAATTGCTTGTCTGCTCAACTGTACTTACCCAACATGAGGCCACGAGTGTTCCAGAAGCAGTAGAAGCAACTGGCCAGGGGAACACTTCCCATTTCTCTCATGTGGAGGAGAGGTACCATGGATTCATGCGTGTTAGTGGGAAGACAACCAATGCACTAGAAATCAATGTTCTAGATGTGAGTGAGCTGTTTGCAAGGTGTGTTGATCCAAACAGCAAGAATGCCCAATCCAACTCCACAAATCACAGCTCAGCGAATAAAGATAAACAACATTTTGAGCAAAGGGACACCAAAAGATCAAATGATTTTTTTAGAGAGTACTTCCCAGCACCAAGTTTCGATCTAGGCATAGATGATTTGCACACAAGATCTGCAGACAACACAACACATCAGCATGTTGGGTTAAGCACATTTATAGAGCATGAGTTCAAGGAACTCCCAGTACATAACCAGCCAATCATCGATATAACCGGTGATGATTATCTGTTGGACGTTGAAGGCATAGACAAACCGTGTGTTCAAGCAGAAGGAAATGCGTACCAAACACCTGAAAAAAGTTGCAACCAAGGAGAAGTGGGGTCAGGCAGCAAGGTTTACAACAGTAGTAGTTCAGGAGAGATGCATCCACATCAATTCGAGAGAAGGATTATCAAGCCACCTCCTTGCAAGAGGTCACCTTTCATTGACTATAATGAGAAGAAAGTCTACATGTCCAAACCCGAAGCAAATAGATTGTATGCATCAGTTATTTTGCATGGAAGAATTAATGAAGAAGAATCACCAGATGTGGATACCAGGTATGACAGTATATCACTGCATTTCTTTTTGGCAGCCATTGCACAATGCACTTTCCCCCAGGCAAGGTATGTCATGTTATCTAGGCAATTCAAACTGTGTTTACAAGCAATCCATTTATAGAATCAGGCAACTTGGCTTAGTGTGAAATTCTTATTTTTTGAAGTAGTTTATCCTTTGATATGCCCATGCCCCCATGTGTTTTCCCTGAGTTGAAATGGTGGTAGGCAATTCATGGAAGGATTTTGTGAGCTGAATGCCTCTTTTTTTTCATGCAGCGTAAGGGTAATTGAATATAGCAAATACTTTGTCACGGTCAGGGAGCTCGCAAACTCAATGAAGAAGGAATGTTTTGTCTTGAGCCATGTAATGGAAGTTGGTATACAGAATATAATGATGAACTTGCCACCAGACTCAAAGAAGCTCGTGATGCCCGTCAGGTTCTCGGTAAGAAAACGCGAAGCAACTAATAGTGTAGTTTTGTGTTTCTTTCTTTTTCTTTTTTTCATAAAAGGTCATGTTCATGTCTGTATTTTTTTACATCAGGTTCAGATGCTAAACATGGAATTGAACGGCAAGGAGCTCATTTCCCGGTTCAAGAAGTCGAATCGCTTGGACCGTAAAGACATGGTAAGTTAATGGTTTCTTTACTTTTTACCAATGCATTTTTTATATATGACTTTTTATGCTAAAACTTTTGCTCACACAAATGTAAATATTTCTTAGGGGGGGATGGGGTGTGTGGTGGGCAAGTTGACTACACTCATGAAATTGCTTCTATGTGGAAAGTTGCTTACATTTTTTGCACAACTTGCCTATGCATTTTTGGCTGGTTGCTTACATAAGTAGATAAGTTGCCTATGCATCTTCTGTTTTTGGAAAATTACTCACACTAGCACAAAACTGGCATGTGCATTTTTGCTTCTTCAGTCCATTTCTTAATTGCTTTTCTGTGGCAAGTTGCTTACATTTTTTGCACAACTTGCCTGTGCATTTTTGGCTGGTTGCTTACACAAGCAGATAATGCATCTTCTGTTTTTGGTAAATTACTCACACTAGCACAAAACTGGCATGTGCATTTTTTCTTCTTCAGTCCATTTCTTAATTTGTGAGAGCACACAGAAAAAATTGCTTACATCCAGTTTCTAGTATTGTATTTTTTTACTAACCCCATTTTTGTTTTTTCTAACAGATTATGTTCCCAGTGTTAGAGAACATCGACAAGACAAAACCTAAAATAGGCAATCATTACTGGATTTTTAACGTGAACATAAGGGATCGACGTTTTGAAACTCTTGATTCTTGGAGGACGCTCAAAAACAAGTCTTTAGATGTTTGCGCAAGGAAAATGGTTGCAAGTTTTCGGTCTCTATGGGAAGAGCATTACGCCAGTTCCCGCGTCTCGCTGGATGAGTTTGGGCTTACCAACATCGACGTTCCAAAACAAAATAATGAGTAAGCATCCACTTCTTTTCACATATTAACTATGGTTTTGTTCAATTTTTTACAAGCGACACAATACTACATAGAGTAAGCATCCAGTTCTTTTTTCAATTTTTTGTTTATGTTCGACTGTGGTGTTTTTGCTCTGACGATAGCAAATGGTTGGGAGGCAAGGGTTGTTCCAAAATTCACAGCTGAGGATATTCCAAGCATCAGGAAACAATTGACTAACACGTGGGTTGACAACGCCAACAACAATGCTCCATGGAAAACCATACTCAAGTTAGCATAGGTCAGTTTTTTCTCCCCTCACGCGCGCTACATCCATGTAAATGCATATGTTGTTTCTTTTGCTCTTTTGTGAATTTTGGAGTGTCGGGGGAGGAGTTGCATGTATAACAACTTGGACCAGGCAACTCTATTGTATAAACAGGCAATTTAAGCTTTAATTTGAGGCAAGTTATTCAGAAGAACCCATAAAAGACAAATGAAAGACAAATAGTATGATCATTACATAACCAGGGAATTGTTGCATTTTATAGCATTGCAGAATCTTATGTATGTAAGTTTTCGACTATTATGGGGAGGGCAAGGGTGTTTGCGCGGCAATTCAAAGCACACAACAGGCAACTCAAAACTTATAACCAGGCAACTCAAAACTCTAGTGTGAGGCAAGTCAGCCACAAGAAACCGTAAACCATAAATAATAGTTTAGGATGTTCAAACATACAGACCCACAAATAGTTTAACTCGTCAATGCCATTCGACACATTTTTTTCAGCCATCTGGTCACTGTGTGACCATTACACCAATCTGGTCGGGTAGCTTGCACCATTGTGGTTAAAAGAACCACAATAGCTGCACTTGTTCTTTCTCTTCGGATGCAGCTCAAGTGCTGATTGAATTCTTTTTGACTTTGCCCTCCCTTTTGTTGTTGATTTTGGAGGGTCTCTAGGAATTGCAGGGCCAAGTGTGGTAGCAGGTCTTCCAAACTGTGGTTCAACCATCATAGTACCTTGTGCGGCTGCAACAACTACATGTAGAGATGCCATACTGAGCGACTGGTGCGCATATCCACTAGGAGCTTGCGCAGTAGGAGATGAAATTGCATTGGCATTTTCTTCTTGTGTTGTTGAAGACCCTGGATGCTACCCAATCCAGCCATCCAGTGTTGCTGTTGACGCAGGCAATGGTGCCAGTCCAGGACCAGCCACATAGGTTGTGTTTGCTGCGTTAGGCCCCCGCAGTGGTTGTATAGCCCCCATAGTTTGTGGTGCAGACCAAATTGCTGGTCTAGGACCCATAGGAGGTCGCGCAGGCCCTCTTGCTAGTGCCGTATCCATCAAAAGTTCTGGCGCAGCTCCTCTTAGCGCTTGCACAGGCCTTGTCATTGTTGAGCCCCTTGAAAGGTGCGGCGCTGCTCCACTGTTCAGTGGCACATATCCTGACAGTTGCTGTACAGGCCAGCAGCCTTGTGTGGGAGGGCTCATGGGTAGTGGTACAACCCCTTTTTGCACCGCTGCAGCCCCGAATGCTGTTTGTTGGTGTCCATCCTCACTCATAGAGTTGCCAGTTAGGTTTGGTGCGTTTTTTCTCCGCGTTGCAGAAGTAGGTCGCTGCTGCCTAGGTCTAGAAGAGGTTTGTGCAGGTTCATCAGCATGCACCGCAGGGCCACTAGTTGCCTGAGTGTTTCTCAGTGGTGGCGCAGAAGTAGGTCGCTGCTGCCTAGGTCCAGAAGGGGCTTGTGAAGGCCCTCCAGGACGCACCGCAGGGCCACCAGTTGCTAGAGAGTTACTCGGTTGTGGTGCAGAACCATCAGCTGATGGTGGAGGACCACCAGAGGGCCCACTTGTTGGTGCTGCCGGTTTCTTCTTCTTTGACATGTTGAGATTTTTGATTTCATGACGCGCACCACACATATGTTTCTTTACAATATCCGTCGCAGCATCTGACGCACTAGCAACCCGGGCAAGACTACCAAAATCCATCATCAGATTTGCATGCCTGAGTTCCTTTTTCGATTGTGGTGGCATCTCATCAGGTTGCTCTTCGACAGCAGGGGGTGCGTTGGGAATTGCCATAGGTGTCCATCTTCTAAGTATGTACTGCGCTAGGATTTCATCAACACCAAGTTGGTTGAAAACTTTCAAGATATGGCAGCAAAGCATGCCGTCCCTCTCAATCTTGCAGCAGTCACATCTGTAGTCTCCAGCACTAGCTTCCACCATGACAAAATAGCCCCTAGAACCATATTTGGCAACCCACTCTTGATTGGGGTAAACCTCATACAAGTTTTCACCATGCGGTCGCACATTGTACCTTGTAGTCAACTGAAACTCATCACGAAACTTCTCGTACAAGTCCCTAGTATATGAACCGTACGCCTGCTTCTCTATTGGGTAAGATGACCACATTTCAGTCTGTAAATGTCCTGTCCTGTAGTCTTTTGAACCCTCCCGGACTAGTATGTGTGTTTGGATTTTCTGATATTGCTTCACAAAGTTCAAAATGGACTTGTGTGGGTTCACATATCGCTTAAGGACAGCGTTGAACCCCTCGCTGCTTTGAGTTGACTGCAAGAAAGGGAAGAATTGGTGCTTGAAGTAGCAGGGCACCCATGTCTCTCTGTACTTGTATAGATTCTCGAAGTGGGAGTCAGTCATAGCCTCATACTTCATCATCAGCTCACACCACCCTGCCTCAAATTCTTCCGGCGTCAAGCTGAAGTCAACACAATTGTTGAAATCTTTGGACAAGCCAGGGTTTCGCCCCAGCAATCCTCCAAGCTTTTCTCGTGCTTTTTTCATAGTATGCCAGCGGCAACAGCGGTGCACACTTGTAGGAAAGATCTTTTTAATTGACTGTGCCATTGCGATGTCTTGGTCGGTTATGATGTTGGTGGGTGCTACATTATGCATTGCCTCAAGGAAGGTCTGGAATAGCCAATCAAAACTCGATGCCAACTCTTGCCTAACAAAGCCACAACCCAACATGAACGACTGCCCATGCCTGTTAATCCCAATGAATGGTGCAAAGGGCATGTTGTACATGTTAGTCATATACGTTGTGTCAAATGAGATACAATCATGATAAGATTCCACATACGCCTTCCTTGCTGCACCATCGATCCAGAAAATATTCTCAACCCTGTCTTCCTCATCATATTTTATCTTGTAAAAAAATCTGGATCCTCTCTCTGCTGATCTTTAAAGTAAGCAACTGTCTCTATCGTATCCCCTTCTTTTGTATCATCCTTGTTCAAGAGCGTCTTGAGGTTTGTAATGTGTTTAGTGCCATAAGGTACAATGAGTTCTGTCCCATAGAAATCTGACATGATGTGCATCATACGACCTGTTGACATGAAGTCACAATGGTGGTCAATACTTTTTCTACACAAAAGCAGTGCCAAAAATAGTTTCTTCTATGTTTTCAGCAAAGCAACTCAAATGCAAAGCTTGGGCAATTCATGAAGCTATACAAGCAACTATAACCATATGCCCCAGGCAACACATGAGCAAAATACACAAAACAAACCAGGGGGTAACTATGCATTTAGTGAGCAATACAAATTTCAATCATAGGCAAGTTGACCCCATCCAGAAACAAGTACTATTGTACATTTTAGCTACAAAGAGACTAACCATAGGAAAGTTCAGATTCAACACCAAATTTGTTTTATAAAAAAACTAGGCAAGCAGGAACTTTGCATTGAGCAACAAACAGGTAAACATTAGGCAAGTCCAGCATCCAGAAACAAATCAGGCATTTTATGTCTTTTTTGTACTGTTGTAAGCAATTTAGTGGCGCTATCAAGCAACTAAGGCATTTGTTTGAAGCAAATCAGTGACATGTTTCAAGCAAAAACAGGTACTTGTTGATAGGCTAAGAAACACACAACCAGTAGGCATGTCCAGGTTCTTAAAGTTAGAAGATAGGGGGGAGGTGGGTGTGGTTCAATACCTGTAGTTAAATTGCAGTTATGAAGATGAGTAAGGAAGGCCCTTTCTTCTGGCGGGATCCCTTGGTGTGATCGCAAATACTTAGTCAAACATGGCTTGTCAACCAACGGATGGTTGCGCTTGCTAACAAAGTAGATCACTTCCCATCTGCCATCTATTACCTTCACAATCATCTTAGCTTTGCAACCAGTTTACACAATTTTATCTCTTTTTCGTTTCTTGCTCCTCTTTTTGCCTTTACTATCATCATCAAGAAAGACAATAGCCTCATCTTCATTATCATCTTTTGCTTGCTCAACAATGTCATCTAGCACGGGAATCTTTTCTGCCCCTCCGTCATCAACACCAGGCTTCCGAAACTTGTTGCAAACAAACTGTTGTTTTATCAACTCCCAGTTTTAAGATCCTTCCTTGAACTATTCATTTTGATTGAAAACCCCATTTGCAAGGAATATGCATTGTAATGCACCTTGGCATCTTCTAAAGTGTCGAACCTCATGCCCACGTAAGGCTCCTTGGGCTGTGACCAAGCCTCATCATCATTTTCAGCACCCAAACCATTACCAACAGTGCCACCGGTATCACCTGCAGCACCTGTGCCATCAAGGGTATGAGCATCACTCCCAGCTGCTATAGCTGCAGGTACTTGTGTACTGCCCGGAGCACGGCCCCCATGACTTGACTGCCCATCTGTCTCCATTGCTTCTGTAGCAGCACCATTGACTCTTTGGATGATAGGGGGATTAGGTGATTCCGCCACAAATTCTGCATTTTCAGCAGCATGTTGTGTACAGTACAATGGATCATCATTATTTTCAGCTGGTTCTTCATTCAGGTCAATCATTGTCAACCTGTTTATTTATTGAGAATATGGGAAAAAGTAAAGCAAGTCAGCAGAGGGATGCAAGCAAGTAGCACAGTAAATACAGGCAAGCCAATAGCTCACCCACCAAAGCACACAAAAATAGCTCAATCATGTTCAACCTGTGCATTTTTTCAACCAGAAAAATTAAAGCAATTTTTATGTTGTTGAGGCAAGCTAGTACCACACTAAACT